CTACATATCCCCAAGATTCCGCTTAAGTACTCCTTCGAGAGCACAATCTCCGAAATATGGTCATACACACACACACACCACGGAAATCCTAATTTGCAAAGCCCCCTTGAACCCACAGTGTCCGAAATCTGATCATAAACCCCTCTAAAACAATCCCTATACACGCACACCACGGAAATCCTAATTTGCAAAGCCCCCTTGAACCCACAGTGTCCGAAATCTGATCATAAACCCCTCTAAAACATGCAAATCCCAATTTCCACAACCTCCTTTCACCCACACTATCCGAAATATAATCATATACACACAGCCCACTTGAACCCACAATCTCCGAAATATGATAATTTGTATTTTTTAGGCTCTGAATGGCGCTCATATATTTATAGAATAGAGCGGCGCCACTCAGGCCAAAAATATTTTGTGTCAGGCATGGCCCCTGCGCAGGATGTATCTGGCAGTCGCAGGCAAGTGATGAAATTAAATCAACAGCTCATTTGCAAGCCGTAGGCATGGCCCATGCGCAGGATGCATGTGGCAGAGAAACGAGATGATGAAATCAATAGCTTATCATATAATTGCAAGCCTGGAAAGTTGATGAATCTCGTGTCACCATGGTTATGGAAGGCATGGCCCCTGCGCAGGATGTGGGTGGCAGACGATCGAATGATAAAAGCAAGAGCTCGTCGCAAAACATGCCTGGAAAGTAGTTGAATCTTCTGGGTATGTACGATACCTTATTGATACACTATGTAGCTTTTTCTGTAAAAGCACTGAGAAGCCGATTACACTGAGAAGCCGATTAGGCCTGAGAAGCCGATTAACACCTCCTGGTAATATGTCCCAGTCTCAGCTTCGTGCGAAGGTGGAGCTGATTGGCACATTCACTTGTTTGGTCATGCGCAAGATGATCCTTCTGTTGATTGTGCCGAAAATCCTCCTAAGCCTGCCGGGCCTGCCGCTGCTAGTGCTTCCTCGGTTCCGGTCGAAAAGAAAAATGGGGGAGGTACTTCCTCCTCAGCAAAACCTTCTGCGTCAAGCAATTCTTCCAAGGCTTCTCTAGCCCCAGCTGCTTCCCCGCAGCCAATTGTTCAGGTTGAGCAAGCAGTCCCTCTCGAAGCTGATGTTCCACCGGAAGAACCTGAAGTCGAGGAGGAGTTCAAGGCCGTTCGACCGGAAGATGATGAAAACAAGGTGCTCAAGCCACTCTTCGACTTTAAGAAGGTGTACAAACGGCTCCAAAGTGACATCGTGGAAAAGGGCCCCCAGACGGCCAAACGTCTCCTACTTGGACTGCATGAGAGGTTCTATCACTGTCCGATTGGCGACTTCAAGAATATGCTGCTGCACGCCGGACTCTCCTCTGATATACTTCCATTGGCGGAAGAAGCGGTCATGAGCTGCAGCGTTTGCCGAGAGTACGTCAGAATGCCAAACCGTCCACAGGTCAAGAGCGGCGCCAACGCTGGGTCATCCAATCAACGCGTGCAGATCGAACTTTTCCAGTACCAAGAGGTTTGGATTCTGCTCATGGTCGACGAGGCCACCAGGTACAAGATGGCAACGGCAGTCGAGGGCAAGGAGCATGGGCACTTCTGAGCCGTATGCTCGGTTCAGTGTTTGGTCCTCCTCATCAACTTGTACTCTATCAGGAATCCAGCTTGATGAGCCATTCTGCTGGCGAGGAGCTTGAGAGGTTCAATGTGGAGCGAGTCCCGAAAGGCACCACAGCTGGAGCTGCTGGAAGGCAACGCGCTACAACCGCCTCCTTGCAACACGACTTCCTCTTTACCTGGCCGGGCAAGGCCGACGAAATCGTGTACGCGGACCTTCTGTACGGCGAGATCTACAAGGTGGATGAAGAAGCTGACAACATCACCGAGGGATGTCTCAGGAGCATTTCTCAAAGGACTGTCTTTTGACAAGGCCCAAGAAATCCTGCAGTCAAAAGGCATTTCCTCTCCTGTACGCCGCGTGGCCGTGATTGCGCCTCTCAACGTTTGGCGTCACCTCGGGAAGTTCAACCCAAACCTGCGCATCTACCTCAGCGAGGCAAGTGACTACGTTCTTTCCTGTCTCAAGCCCATTTATGGATTGAACGAACTGTGTCTGCACGGACACTTTGAAGAACAAGGTGGGCGTGCTAGTTTGCTGGACGAGAACATGTTCTTCTGGAAGGACGGCAAGGGCGTCAAATCCATGATCACGACCCACGTTGACGACATCAGCGCCACCAGTGAGAACAAGTGGTTCAAGAAACAGCACGAGGTCCTGGTTTCTAAGTTCGGCAAGGTTTCCAGACAAGGCCTTCCTTTCGTTCACTGCGGCATCGAGTACAGCCGCGCTCCCGACGTCTACTTCCTCTCACAAGACTCCTTCGCGTCCGAGCTCAAACAGGTGCACGCTCCAGCGCACCGGAAGGACAGCGAGATCCTGGACGCCGCCGAGGTCACTTCTTTTCGTTGAATTCTCGGAGGCCTCCTATGGCTTACGGCCACTCGGTTAGACCTCAAATTGCTGATGTCTGTGCGTTACAGTCACAGGTGACGAGGGCTACGCCAAGCCAACGGCGTTGTCAAAAGAGTTCAGTCCGAGTGCGGTCAAGGCCTGGGACTTCACTACAGGAGGCTGCGAGGACCGCTGCGAATCCTGTGTGTGCACGACTCGAGCGCCGCAGGGAACGTGCGCTCGTATGCGCAGGAAGGCCTACCAGCCCGACTACGTGCGCGAGCTGAACGACCAGGGCGCAAACACTTTTGGTGGAAAGGCTCACACCCTGTGCGCCCACGGTGCGAAGGCCAAGCGGATCTCATACAGTACCTCACATGCGGAAACTCTCCGGCCGATTTCCGGTCTGGAGGCTTCATGGTCAGGCTTGCTGAGCTGCCCACCATCCAATCTCTGCTGGCGGCTCAGGAACACGGCCTGAGAGAACTCCCGATGGACGACTGCTGTGACTGCAGAGACCTGTTCGAATTGAATTGTGCTCAGGCAGCAAGGGCATAGCTCAGGACAAGAATCAGAGACTATATGTCTTGGCCCTGAGAGAAGCACGAATGATGGGCAGAATTCGGTGGCTCTCTTTGATACCTACCGCCTCGATGACAGCAGATGGGCTCACAAGATCCATGGTGGCGGTTTCTCTCATGGAGCTCCTTTCATCCGGCATCGTCACCTTCCGAAACGAGGAAAAGCATCCCATTATTCTGCGTGCACTACCAGTACGTGAGCGTATCGACGAGCAACACTTTGACCTCACTGACAAGGAGATCATAAGACAGGTAGGGTGCCGATCTCTATGTGGTGCGCTTCATGCTCTACGGGGACGACTTCGGCGATCCTCCTCTTCATGCTGGCGACATCGCTTACGACACCGGTTTCGGCGACCTCAACAACTATGACTTCCTCGACGACGGCGAGCGCGGACGAAGCTGACGACAACAGGTTCCTGATCACTTTCGCTGTGATGGTGCTCGCGACTGAATGGTTGCTTTTCGGTGCAATACGCTACTGGTGGCACAAGTTATGCAGATGCCGATTCCGAAAGACGAATCCTGAGCTGATCGAAGAACCTGACGGTGAACCTGCGCCTGAGGGCATGCGACAAGTGGATGCTGCAGAAGCACATACGTTCAAGTGAACGTTCCGCCTCCTCAGCTTCCCTATGAAGCTCAACATGTCGATGACTTTGCTGCTGTGTTTCCAGAATGGGTCCAACGACCGATGGAAGAGCTGATGATCCACAACGAGACTCTGGCGGCTTCCGAACGGCGTCTATACGTGCCGAAGTTGCTGAACTGAGGGGTCTTCAGGATAATCACTGGAATCAGATTCAGAGGCTGAATGCCGATCTGCGTCAGTATCAGGGTGTAGATCCTACTAATCTTCCCTTGTATGCCACCACGAGTACTGGCAGAACCTGGCATCGTGACCGTCAATGCTACCACATTAGGCATTCCAGGGTTCGAACTATGCAGTGCTGCCAGGACTGTGTTAGGTAGCTAAGAACGTGAGTGGAGTGAAATTTTCGTTGACTCCCTGAGCTCACACTGTAAGCATGGCATCCCGCAGCGCGCTTGAGCCCAAGTAAAAAGATTAATCTGAGTTCATGCACCTTGTGGGAAGCAGACAATGTGGAGGAGTCAGGGGTGCTGTCAGCGCTGACATTGGAGGAACTGACAGAGCACCTCGAGCTGTGCAGAATGCGTTGCCACGACCGGACCGACCATGAAGTCACTACTCATATCGCACCTTGTCCCCCCAAGTTGGGGCTTGCAAAGCATGAAGTTTCATTTGTGGCGCTCCGTGGAATGCTGATCCGCTAGGTCCTCGCAGCCGGCTAAGCCATGGTGCCAGTTTGAAGGCGGGGTTTAACAACAGCAGCCGCAAAAGCAACAGCAACAACAACAACACCACCACCAACAACATCAGAGCCAACGACAACAACAGCAAGAACAGCATCAACAGCAACAGCAACAGCAACAGCAACAGCAACAAAACCAATACCAACAACAACAACAAGGCACATAACCTGATGTCCCAAGCAGCATGCCCTAAAAAGCTGAGATCTTAACTTTTCGTCGAGCTGTTTGCAACAGAAGTGGCTCCTGGCAATGTGGTATCTTTTGCAAATTTGCGGTAATCTGAAGGGAGGACAGCAGTCAAATGTCTGCACCGGCAAACTTTGCTCGCAGCATGGTTGCACGCACATGCTTCACGCATTCGCAGATTTCCCCATCCCACGGACTAGCGCAGCTGTGCAACAGTGCAGAGTTTGCTGGTGAATGTATAGTGAACAGCTGTGCACCGAATGCACCCAGCGAGAACTTTGGAAACACTGCAAGACATTCTTAATGCAATGACTCAATCTGAGATTTCTCTGCGCATAATTCTCTAGGTTAGCCCAGGATGTTATCGATCGGAACCCGAATCTGTGGGCCGCAGCCATTTAGTTCGACAAAGACCGCCTGAGCGTGGCGGTCAGCTGTGCCGTGAAGGGCACCATGCGGAATTGGGTGCGCCACGCACAGATGGAGGGAAGGGTTCTCAAGATCCCCTAGCAAGGGTGGCGAAAGACCGACCCTGCAGTTTTTCCTCGGAAAACATCCAACTCCTGATGTTTTGGGAATATTTTGGGGATTACATGCGAGTATCATGCAGATGATCAGGGAGTTATTGCAGGATCTGGTGGGTCTTATCAAGCAAGGTGCTGGGTCGTTTGGGTGTTTTGCGGCATGCTGAGAAATACCCTAATATGAACACCTGGGCGTTGTTGTGTGGCAGCTCACGCTTGGTAGGCATGGCTGATACCGGCTCCCTTCGCTGTCTTTACCCTGGCGAGTGCGCAGGAGCATGCTTTACTGATGTGCAGCAGCGTGTTGTCACCCTACTCCAACGTATTCATTCATGTTGAAGGGGCAGCGGCCGTCGCGAGCTCAACAACACGCCAGTTCGTCTTCAGCCATCGCAGGTTTGGCAAGCTCAGCCTGTGCAGAGGCAGAAGATAGAAGCACCGAAATGGCTGGATGATGATGGGAAGGATCCGGCTCTCTAAATGGAGCCCGCAGTGCCTCTCGCCCTTGCGGCTTCCCAGCGCCGCCCAGGATCTCTTCAACGACATTGAGAACGACGAGAACCCGCACAGCGAGGCGGCCTGTGAGAGCCGCGAGGCTCGGCCTTGAAGAATGCCATTTGCCATGCGGAGGTGATGCATAAAGAATCACTGTAGCTAAATTTCTTAAGAAGCGTAGAACGCCTGAAGTTAGGGGGTGAGACAACACTGACAGATCTGAAGAGATAAAGAGCTTAGGATGCCTAAGCTTCATTTGAGACACATTATCCGCCCCATTTTGTGCAGAAGCTGCTGAAAGCTATGGCGGGGAAAGGCAAGGAGAACTGCTCGAATCAGATGCTTTTGGGATCTTTTGGGTAACTACTTCTTATGGGTTTTGCTTTATTGCTAGGATCAGTTAAGCGTTTGAGGCCTTGTGGGCATAGAGACTGGGATGGGGAAGAGGGCATCGTGGTGGTTGCATCCTGCCGTCTTTAATGGTTTTAGTTACAGTACGTAGGTTACAGCTGCCATCATTCCTTTGCTCCTGTGTGAGACTGCCGCCCCTGCCTACTGCCCACTTACAGAGCTACTGAGTCACGAGACACGCCATAACAAGTCCTGAGCAAATGTGCTAGAAAATTCAAAGCAGGGTCTGGGATGTTCCTGCAGGCTTGGGATTGGACGGGAAAGTGGCCTGCAATAGTCGGATATGGGATGTTGACTGCAACCTTGACATTGGCAGGGCTGTGGTTTCATTTGGCAGGAGATGCAAGCGCATCCAGCTATCGAGCTCGAACTCTTTTAGGCAGGGCTCCTAGAGTGTTTAACTGTTTCTCCTAAGAGGTGATGGGAACTTGTGACAGGAACATTGATTGCCGAAGTTGTGGTGGTGTGGTAAGACATCTGGTGACCCAGTGTACATTCTGCGACAAGGTATTTTTGTTTCAACAGAACAAGCGACAAGCGGAACTGCGCAAGAGATTGCAAGAGATTTTCCGAAACCAGCAGTGTCTCTCGGTCCCTCTCGGGTGCGGCACTTCCAATCACCGAATGCGAAGTGCCCTGAAGATGTTGCCCAAAGAGCCCGACAGGATGTCTGCAATGTTCAAACGGACACTTGGTTCTTCCCCTTGTTCCCTGCTTGGATCCCAGGCTGTGGTCTTTGTGAAGTGAAGAAGGCCAGGGCTCTGAGGAAGCAACCACGGAACATACAAGGAACAGCTCTGCGTAACATGGCGGGATAGTATGGGCTGGCTCGAGAGGAGTCTGTATAGTTGTGGGACAAAGTTCGAGACATACGTCCCAAAGTCTGTTGTGGTTACACCAGAAGCTTACGTCCAAAAGCCTTGTATCACAAAACTTGACAAGTCCGCAGATGCACCCCACAACGTTGCGTCTTGGTACAAGCCCCACTCACGACACACAGCCCCTAAGGCTTGAGTGTTTGCAGAAGACCTCTCGGCCCCTGAGAAAACGCTTGTCTTTTTGTGCATCTATCTTTCTCGAATGTGTCCAACAGCGATTTGCACTTTCGTGCGCTCTTCTCGGAGGCAAACTGGGCCATGGCGAAGCGACGTCTTGAAAGCGCCATCTCGGAGATGAATGTCCCAAGCGAGGAGGCTGGCAAAATCGAACATGAGACCTCAAGATAGAGCCTCCTCTACTGTGATCCAGAGGCTTTGTAGATTACTCTTGGAGAGTGTTCTATGTGAGAAGTCAGAACAATCAGGCATTGGGAACATGTGAAAGAATCCTTCCTTTGCCGATGCCCTCTAGCTTGGGATGAGGAGGTCTGAACTTGATCTTTTGAAGGCATGGCCTCGTGGTGCTTTTGAGTTTCACGACTGCCAAGAACTGCCATTGTTTTTTTAGACGACTCAAACAGCTTCCTAAGTTGAAGCAATGATCATTGATTTGGAGAATCTGTTGGGCTGAAGAGCGCAAAATCTGGCAGATGATGCTGAAGAACCCGGAACTGGCCCCAATCGCGCTCACGCCTCTTGTCTGCAGCAAAGACTTATTGAAGGGTAAGCGCCATGTAGCACCGCAGAGATGAGGCTTGCTTACAATGTTTCATTACAAGCTTATGTAAGTTTATGAAAATCTACGTATGCTATGATCAGCTGGTTCAAGACCTGCATACACTGGAAGACCATCCTTTGTGGACTGAAATGAGCACTGTACATGTCTGACAACCGCGCGAGGAAGCAGGCTTCCGACTTCATGCGGAAGTTCGAACTGACTCAGGTGCGGAGGGGAGCTGGCTGCAGGCATCTCCCATGTAGGAGCAACACGTTCAAAGTTAAACCTCCTATGAAGCCCTTACTGACTGAAGGCAGGTACACAGCTGCGGAGATGTCGAGAAGTCCTCGAGAGGAACATCAAGACGGTGCCACGCGCCTTGCGCCTCCGAAGCGTCGATCATGCGTCACCGCGTCTCTGCTATATACATAGAGACATTATGCGTACAGAATCAAGGTAGACAATTCTTGCAGATGCTGTCCGTGCGGGCTACGGCAATTGCGTGAGTTTCCGACAACTTCCCAGCCCCGTTTTTTCAGCCGTGGGCTCTGCTGCTCACAGCTTAGGGCCGAATACGAAAGCAACCCATGGCAGTACGTTCGTGCTAGCAAGTCCGGCAAGTATAAGAGCGTGTCATCAGGTTCATCCTACTGGCGTAGGATCGGAAAGCTTCGGAATGTTGACTCCGTAGCTGCCGCTGCTGCCACCGCAGTCAGCACCTCTTGTTTCCATGGCGTGGTTACGTTGGTCAGAGATGGGAGCTGGCCGCCACTGCAAATGTCGGCCAAGAGGCGGCGTGTGGCTGAGGCCTCCGATGGCTTCATCTCCTTCGGAGATGAGGAATGCGAGGATGAGCAGACTGAGGAATGCCAGGAGCCTCCTTTTTGCTCTGAGAGCTCCGCCAGCTCCCAAAACGGAACTCCTTTAGCATTGGATTGGTCCTGCAGCGACCTCCTCCTCGAGACGGTGATAGGACTCAGTGCACGCGTGAGTGCATCGATGCCTGGGATGCCTGGAGTCTGGGCATTGGGGCGAGGTGTGCATCCAGCATATCAAGGCCGGCATCGATGGAAGCTCCGCATCCTCCAACTTCCCGAAGCCTCGCAAGCCTCGCTGCTTTTGGGGACCCTGGTGCAGTGGCCTGGCTGCTGCCCCATGCCTGGCCCTGGCTTCGAGGCGTGTCTTGAGAGTATTGAATCTGAATAGGACTGTGTGGAGGTACCACAAGACGGGTGCTTGGCAAAGCTTCCTTGCTTTCAGGGCTCTGCCGCTGAGCAGCCTGCGCTGGCACTCCTGGCAGTCGCTTGGCAAAGACCTGTGCATCTTAGTCACTGGCAGGGCCTTGCACTGTAAGGACACTGGCGAGCAGCTGTTCACCTCCAATCTTTCCTCGACTTTACTCCGATCTCCATTGCTGCCGCACCCTCTGCAGGCTGAAGATCGCTCAAGCAGCTTGCCTAAACCGGGAGGGTACTGAAGCCACAGGAGGCGGACGTGATTGAGATCAGCATGGACCTGGACCTTCGACGTCTGCGTTTCCGCCTCGAAGGCCGTGGCAGCTGACTAACACACACACGTCGTAAGTCACAATTCCGTTCCACCATGTTATCACCACGTTCCAGGCAGCACCTTGGAGGGCGAGGCGCGAAGAGGGCTCTGAGTGCACTTGGCCTCGTTGGCCTGGAAGAGCTGGAGGCCAAGAGGCTGCCTCTGCGGCGTGACGCAGCCGGCCGCGGTAGCCACTCCTCCCAGCGCCTTCGTGAGACGGCGGGGACCTGGAAAGATGCTTCAAACAGTCTCCTCTTTAGTTTTGGATTTCTCTCAGGCCTACTTTCCCTTCGTTGCTCTGCGGGCCGGTGTGGAAGTGGAGTTGCTTGTTTTGCAGATTTTGTCTGGGCTTGTCAGTGATTCTGATTTGCTTTGGATTTTTCATTCCGCTGGTATCTGTCTGTTGTGCTCGCAATGTTGCGGGCCTCGGTTGAAAGAGAGCCCACGCAGCTACGCATGTCCTTCCAAAGCTTCAAGCAGGTTGATTTGTGCTTGCACCTCGAAGCTTCCAAGGCTGCTTGACATGCGCCCAGTGCCATTAAGACTACCAAGCATGCCGACGCCGGAGGCCGGAGGCGCCAAGGCCTGCAATGTCATCGCTTCAGATTTCTTTGCTGACCGGAGGTTGTGCTCCTCGCTGGGCCACCGGGAGCTGGCAAGTCAGCACGGCGCACGGGACTTGCCGCTTTGATCTGCCTATGAGGAGAACACACAAGAACTCAGGCCTGGGCCAGGCGGCATGCAGCAGGAAACCGTGGGGTCCAGGCGAGCTGATAACCAGGAGCAGGTGCAGAGTAAGGAGAGTAAGGTGGGTGCAATGAGGTGCTTGGAGCTGAGTGGCTGCTGCACCGGGCCACGTTTGCAGACCACTTCAAGGACTGTCGGGCCTGCCACAGCCTTCCTTGCTCCTTTGCTGTGACGTTGCGTTTGCAGGCTTTGCGCCCTGAGCCAGACGCTGCATCTGAGCGGGCTGAGACAGCTGTGGAAGAATCCGATATTCTTGGAGAGGAGGCCTCCCCTGCCACATCTGAAGTGACACAGTTGAATTCTCTGGCTTGTGAAGTGGTGCTGCCAGGGTCGCAGACACTTTGCAGAGCGCTTGCTGCAAGCTTTCGGCACTGAAGAGGCCGAGCGAATAGACAACGCATCTTTCAAAAGGATTCAGAGGATGACCTGAAAGCTAGGAGACCGCAAGCAGCGCAGACAGCCAGAAGACATCAACCTCGCAGGCCAATCCGAGCAGCTCCAGTGCAGCGAATTGTGGCAACTTCGGGTCAGTCTGATGTTTGCGGTGTTCGCGTTGCTCTGAAGGCCTGGACTCTGCAGCGTGCACGTGAACTGCTGGCATCAGCACGCCGGCCACATGTAGACTTGCCAAGTACTGTATGGCTCATGTGTCGGAAAAAGTGCGAGATAAGCCTCTTCAAGGAACTTTTGGTGCTGCTGCAGCGCGCCGTGATGCGGCACGTCAGCGTGGTGGTTGATGATTGCAATTTACAGGCTCATGGTTTGAGTGCTTGCACCAAGTTCAGCTTTCAAGCCTCACGGCAGAACCTCCCCTTTAGCTCCTGACCACCAGCACACGAATCAGCTTTGATCCTTAGTTTCGATGTGCTTTAAAGGGACCTGTAGTTGGAATTTGGAGGCATCCCGTCGCCTGGCTCTACGCAATGTACTGCGGCCATTCCCTGGCCGGGTGTGGAGCTGAAAACCTGTCTAGCTCTGATTCGGTGCGTTCGCAGTGCCGTGATGCCTGTCCAGAATTCGTGAAATTGTAAGGTCCGCTGGGTGATCGTCCTGCCAGAAACAGCAGCTGAGCTTCTTCGCCGGCGTAATGTTGGAGACCAAGCGTCGTTTGCATCTGCATGTATACAGCGGGCCATGTGGCCAGTGGCCTACAATTACAAGCCAGGAAGCTGCAAGTGGAGGTCAGCTTGCAGTTGTCGGCGGCTCAGATTCTCCACTTGCCGGGGGTGTCAGCTGTCAGCTGTGCTGTTCCGCTGAAAGCCGTTGGTAGAGCTTCTTTGCTGAGAAGGACGAATGGTTCGGAGCGTCGCTGCCTGAAGAAGGAACCCAGCAGGCGGGTTACTTCTGGCCGAGCCAGACGAAGATGAAGTAAAATGCGGCGGCTTCACATATAGGAGCCAGCATGTGATTGCCAAGTCTTGCATTCACACCAGTGATGTGTCTGATAGGGACCACCCCGGATAACTTGTTGACCATGCAGAATGTTTGGACCGCAGGTTGAGTATGCAGAAGGCCTGGACCTTGAGAGCTGTTTGTCTTTACCTTCTTATTGGTTTAAACTCTGCTGTACATGGTGCGCTAGTAGAATCCATGCCGAACGTTGCATGCAGGGGTTGCGGTTGAGGACGCAATCTGGACGTTTTCAAGAGCTGGTTTAGGCTGGAGGACTGCGAAGAGTGCTCACCTCAGAAAGCGGAGCACCACCAATGCGCCGTGTTCTAGTGCAATGCTTGCTCCCAGGGATCCCTACCATGAGCCAGTCCACAGCCATGGCCAGCATGGCCAGCCGGGCAGATCCGAGGCTTCTTTGGAAGCGCGCCAACATCGAAAGCGTAGCTTCTTCTCCTGGCCAAATCAGGAGAAGCAGGAGGTGCGCTTCCAAAGCTACGGTGACATGGGCGTAAGGCACGCTTTAGTGGGAGCTCGGGCTTAGCCGCTAGCTAGTTTTGCCGCTGGTGGCCCAGGGACTATCTCAGCACGGAGGGCACGCGGCGCTTCTAAGTTACGCCGTGTCCAAAGAGCCGAGTGGCCCACACGCCTAAGCCACAGCTCCTGTCCTGCAGCTGCCACCACTTACCCCATCCGCAGGTGCTGAAGCGCGTCCATCAGCAGATGAGTCAAAGCGGGCAGGCACGTCATAATAATGAGGCTGCAACAATCCTTGTATCCGTGCACTGCTATTGGCAAAGGCGGTCCCTTTGGAGAAGTTTGTTGAAGAGATCCCAGGCTGGCAGCGCCGCTGGGTTGAGCAGGTTCTTGTATGCAGTATCTCCAGGCCTTGGAAAAACAGGGCAGTTCCTTCCATCGCTGATGACTCAAGTCCCTGGACTCCGGGAGGTCCGTCTCCACCAGTGAGCCGAGATGTTGTTGCGCTGCTTCGGTTTCGAGGTCTTTGGCTTCATGGAGGTAGTTGACAACGCTTTGGATTTGCTGGACGGGCAAGTTGCGGCAGGGCTTCCAACTCGGCCTGTGAGCTTCACAGCCTTGGAGTGAACCCACCGCCAAGGCCGTGGATCCAACGCAGAAGTCCAAGAAGCTTCGATTGGACATTAGCAAGGCCTTGGCCTTGCCTCCTTGCAGCAAATGCACAGCTGCACAGCTGCACTGCACAAGTGCTGCAAAGTGCATTCTTCCTCAGGGCAAGAGCAAGGGCAGCATGCTCTATGTGCGTTGCCCAGCAAATGCCTTGGTGGAGCGGAAGGGACCTGAATCACGACTGAGGTGCGCGGCCTCTTCATGCAGCCAGTAGTGCCTTTTGAGCAGCTCGCAGTCGCAAAGGAGATCGTTCACCGTGTTTTTTTGTCGCGTACAGGATTCAGCTTCACTTGGACCTCACCTTGAAAGCGTTTTTTTGGCGCGTTTTGAGGAGTTGGTGGACTCCGGCACGGCCAAGGCCATCATGGGCTTAGCAACTGCTCAGGCCGGTGCCGACTGCGCCCTCTTAAAAACCTATGCAGCAATGTGCTCCTTGGTTCTGACCAGGCAGCTTCGCTGATCAAGCGGACCAAGATGGGCTCGGGATGCAAGGACCTTTGGGTCCCGAAACCCCCAAAAGTGTCTCAACGTACCTGGAATGGTCTAAGCCGGTAGAGTGCCAGGATGATGTCAACAAAGTCTGCGAGAAGCTCTCCAAGGCTGGAAGTGACGCAAGTTGAAGCAAATTGTTTTCATGAGAAGAAATCGCTCTCGGATTTCAACAGCTCAATAGCCCTCATGCACTCATGTTTTGCACTTTGGAAAGTCTGTGTTTGCAAGATTGCCGACATTCAATCGAATGGCTTCGGCGAGACCCGGCTGCTTATCCTCAAGGAGCAGCCGTGACCTTTTGATGTTGTCCTGGCATGGTTTCCAACGAATGACCCATGGCTCCGGAAGGAGGGCAAGAAGCAGGCCTTGGATGTCTGGGCCCAAGTTGAAGCACCGTAGGCTGTGGTAGAGCGGATCTGATGCTGAGGCGTGCACCACAAACGCGAACGTGGGGCTTCTGGTGGCGGCCAAGGTGCATGCGGCCAAGACAGAATGAAGAGGAATGACCTTTCAGCGCCCTTGGACTTGGCAGGATGGTGTTCGCCTGACAGCGCATCCCTGAGTCTGAGTTACGGAGTTCGCAGCGATCACAAAGCAAAGCAGTGCAAAGTTTAAAGCGAATGCAAAGCGAATGAAAGCGAGGTGGCCGGATCAGAGCCGGCTCTCCTGAAAGCTGGAGAGACCATCCCTCAGCCTCTCAGCCTCCGCTCACAAGCAGATGCTGTTAATGCTGCTAATGAAACTTGCCAGAGGCCACTAGTTTTCGATGTCTGCCTGGAGGACGCTTTGCATCGTTCGTTGTTCTCTGTCGAAGCTCCATCATGTTGCGGCAGGCAAGTCTTCAGGCAGACGAGAAGGTACCAGTGGTGTTCGCGCAGGCGTGATTTCTCGTGTCAAGCAAGCCCAAAATCTTGCCACTGAGCAATGTGATAATTAAAGGCACCGGATTTCTCAGCGTATGATAACGTATGGATGCACTTAAGCCATGTAGCCACGACAAACACTGTTTGTCCGCCGCACCCTTTGAACCCTGGGACCGAGCGCCTGGTCTTGTGAGCGAAGGCCTGGCATCCAGAATTCGCTGCAGTGGAGCGGACCACGGAGCTTCGGTCACGCGAGGGGTCCCAGAGAGCGGCAGACGGGTGCACACAAGGTCAATATCTACCTATGATGTGTGCATGTAGGTACCCGTAAATTGCTTGGCATGGGACTTTGTCTCGGAAGCAGCGATTACCTGGGCAACTTACTTCTGGCGACCTGACCCGACCTCCTCGCAACTGCGGTCCACATGGAACGTTGGGCAAAGGTGGGTTGATTTCAGGTCCTGGATTTACCTAACATGGCCAGATTGCTTTACAGGGCATTTTCCAGATTCGAGGTCTCATTGTTGCAGTAGCCTGCCATCAATAAATTCCCATTCTCCAGCAACAGGTACGTCAGCAAAGCCGTTACCAGCGCACAGTACCACCGGCCCACCGATTAACAAATTGTTGCGGCGCTCCCCGGGTACTTCCTCCAGATATTGCTGCTGCTATCACCAAGAGTTACAGACGTACCTCTCCAAAAATCACGGCAGTATCATCGAGACGGTGGCGGTTTCCCTGTAGAATCTAGCAGGTTCAATCAATCACAGAGGTGCCTGGGCCTAGGCCGCGGAATCGCCGAAGTTCTCAGCAAAATGAAAGCGTATGAACTGTTCAGCGTCCAACATGCAGGGTTGGGAAAAAGAAAAAAGTCAGGGATGGGGAGCATGACGTTGAGCATCACTGATTGGCACACTAATCTAGAGGTCATGTTATGCGAGCATGGCTTGAGCTGGGTTGCCATCCCAGACAGCCTTGAACCTGAGGAGCCTCGGCTTTTAGCTTATCCGAGGAGGAGGTGAAGGCTGCAACCAAGGCCTTGTTCTGGAGCACGAGAGGAATTCAATGGCTATGAGGGTATCGGCTAAGTGGAGACTTGAGAAGATGGAGTTGAGCCGGAACATTTCCAACACCATTGCAATACTTGTGTAGAGCGGATGCGGAAGCTGAGTAAGAAGTTCACAGAAGCTGGCCGGCCATTTTGTCTGGCCTGGCTTGCCTAGCTTTGAGGTCCTGCGGAGGATCCTTGGCATATATGTAGGTCATGTGGTTAGGGTTTTTTTTAACATCTCTCACGCTCTTCAAGAATGGGTGTGCTGCTTTTATTCCATGCCAAAACGAGAGGGATGCCTGTCCTGCACCCGGGTGGCTAGCCTTGCCAGGTGGTAAACGACCACGCGAAGTCAGCATGGGAGAAGAGCGAGGGCCTCAATGAAAGCGCCTTTTGGACGGAACACATGCAGTGAGTCACTCAGCGAGTGGCGGAAAGGCGCCAAACACTGGCGATCCTCCTTCAGCGGCCTGGATACCATGAGGCTGGCTTTTCTTCAAGCTGCCCGTCCACCGTCTAGAAGGTAGTTGAGAGCCTCCTGTAGGAGAGTACTGCAGACGAAGGAAGAGGAGACAGTTTCATTGCTGAGCTCTCTCGATGAGGGTTGCAGGTGTTGTTCGGTTGCACCGTTATGGCCGCATGGCACCGGCTAAACCAGTGCCTCACATCACCTGCATCCTTCCCTTGGCTTCTCCATACTGGTACCTTCGCGAGATGTATCAAGCCGAGAATTCGTTCATTGAGAGGAAACCACTTTGGCATGAAGCATGATGTTCACAGACTGAGAACAGCTGAGGGTTGGGATGATGAGCCGAACGTACCCCCAAATTTCTCACAATTTTGCCGCATAATTAGAAAGAAAAAAAGTAAAGCATGAATCTCGGTAATAGCCGTGAAGCTGGAATTCGTTTTCGGGTTATTGGCCCTATAAATTAAACGAATTGGCAAATTGGAAAGCTATTCAAATTTGGAACAGGGATAGAATGATTTCGACCAGATTTTTGACAGGATCTGCTTTGTGATGGATGTTTGGCATTTTGAAAGGGCCCCCTAACCCCCGCTGGGACATTGGCGGCAAGTCAGCATCGATTGGTCTGAAACAAGTTGCTCTTGTTCCAATAATTGGCCTGGAAGAGTGCCTTTGCAGAAGTATTGCGTAAGGGTGATTTGATGCATGGAACTTCGGTGCGGCATTTGTGAAGCCCCTGCCAGCCTCGAATGACCCATGCGAAACATAAATGGCCGCTAACGCGGGAAAATCGGCTCAAGCATAACGGCACTCTGACTTGAGGAGTTACCTTCTAATCTTACATAAGCATGCATTTTTTGATTTTGGCTTTGAAAGCTTACTGCACGGAATGGCCAGGGATTTCCAGGTAAGAAAGTGAAAAGCCCTTTATAGAAGTTTCCTGATAACTAGATTCCAAGTTTTTATAAGGCAGAAGAGGTTTCTTAATTCAGACTTGCTACAAGGAGGTTTGATATTGCCACCCCCTTTGTAATTCTGGTCGGAGGGCCCTGGTAAGGGGTAGCCTTTGGAAGCTTCCTGGAAGTGGGTTTCGAATAAGCGGACTAACAAGACATCCTTAGTTTCTCATGCTTGGGGACTGCAAAATTTCCAGACAACTAATAAAGGCTTAGGCGGGCAGCTTCAAGGCTTCAAGGCTCCTAATAAAATTCTAAGCTTGGCTTATTTGGCAGAAAGGGTTTTTCTCACATCCAGACCTGCTGCGTTGGGGTGTAATATCACCTCCTTTGTAATTTTGGTCCGAGTGCCCTGGTAAGGGGTAGCTGTTGGAAGCTTCCTGGAAGTGGTTTTCGAATATGCGGACTAATAACAAATCCTTAGCTTCTAATCTGACTCTGGTGAATCTGAGTGCCAAGCTCCAAAGTTTCAGCTGTGTTCTGCTGAGTCTGTTTTGCAAGCATTCAATGGAACCTAAATACCATTTTCGCCTTTAGAAGCCTGAAATTAGGATGTTTCGTGCGGACAATGTGTTTATTGTCACCATTCATTACCCGGAACTTGTTTAGACTCTGCGAACTTGTTAGAAAGCAAACGTAGTCTTCCGGGATGTTTCAGGCTCGGCATGATATGATCATCCGCTTTATCAATGGCTCAACATTACACAGGACAAGGCGAAAGCCAAGGAAGCAGCGGAAGAGGCACTGGCGCTCCCACGCCTCGAATGTCAAGTGTTCTTATGATCCCTGCCAGGCAAAGCGGAAGGAGGAGGAGGCCAACGACGAGGACAGAAAGAAAGCCTTGGAGGCCGGCCGCTCTTCGAAGCCCATTTGAGCGCCCCGACACAGGTGTCCAGTATGCATGATTCACACGAGGGATGCATGAAGTACCTGAATTAAAGGATGATCTCCTGTGCTCTTTTTGTTGGGATCTGCGGGAGGATGGTCGGATGCTCAGGCCAAAATGATGCAGACCTGTGACCCACCGGCAGGAGCTCGAGCGAAAGCGCGCGGAGAAGCGGCGCCAGCAAGAGGAGGCCCTGGGGCAGCTGAAGATCATCATCTGGGGATGCTCAGACTCGGAACTTCCGTGCAGCTGCAGGCGGAAGCAAAGCGCCTGGCGAGGAAAAAGCAATTAGAAGAGGACGTTCTCCCGACATTCAATTGCTGTGTCTCTGGATGTCCTTGGGAGTTTCGGCCAGCTCATCTCAGGAGAGGGCAAAGCGTGATCCCTGGCTCCTCTTTCCAGAGGTCATCGAGGCCGAGAAAAAGGTCGAGGACGGAAAGAAGCTTTGGGCTTCTTTGCGCTTGCTCTGTTTCTGGTACCAGAGCAAGCTCCACCCTGATCAGGCTCCAGCAGCATGAGACACAGGAAAAAAAAGCAAAAGCCTAGCAGCTTTCAGACTTTAAACAGACTGCGCAAATAATCCTCGCTCTCGTCCAGCCTGAGTTGTGCTTCGTAGCCCTGTCGGGAGAATGGATACCGCTCCTCGTGCGAGACGCTTTGGCCCAGCTTTCCTGGTCCTTGCGGTCAGTGGAGGTGCCTTGCTCAGCTTCGTGGGCCCACTAAGTCGCAGCCGAGCCCTTGATCTTCGACCTGGAGCTGGGGCGTCAGAGTCTGGAGCCACCGCAAGGGCGGCTTTCTCATGGGATACGGATGAACCTCCAAAGATCCCGGCAACACCAGATGAGATGATCCAACAGGCTTCGGACGCTGTCATGCGTGCCTACAGAGATGGCAAGACGCGACAAGCGGTTCGACTTCGACTGGACCAGCTTTTTGACATGGAGTCCCTGTACGTCAAGGGCATCGAGGCCCAATGATTTGAGTTTTAAGCCTTCATCCTGGCTTCTGCTTTCATGAATAAAGCATAGGCTCTGCAGCTGGCTACCGTCCCCTACATGGAGCAATTCGTCAAGAAGCTCTGGGGAGGGGATTACCTGAAGGAGATCAGGACAGCTTGCAGATGCTTGCAGCTTGCTCACCAGAGCTTCAGGTTCCATGACACTTCACCAGGCACCATGAGTCGCTCTCTTGCAGGACCTCAGTGGTGGACGAGCAGGCAGTACTGCAGTAGCCATCGTTTCGATTCGTTTCCGGAAGCGAAGCTTCAAAATGACAGGCGGGGACGCTGATCTACCGGGAATCTGAGAATGAGCTCCAGGACATGGCTGTCTTCTTTCTGCCAGGCCTTTTGAGCCGAGACGTAGGCGGTTAGTAGTAGCAGAGCTTGACAACGACTCGCCTCATCCAGGCCGAGACCTCATGGCCGAGCCCAAGACACAGAACTTCATCCGGAAGATGACCGACAGGCCTGCTCTGTAAGGAAGTCCGTTTCTTCGGTTCCTTGGTCTGGGCAGGCTGGTCCTGCTCCTGAACTCTGAGCCCCTGGTCTACTGCACAGTCTTGCCACGACCAGCTTAAGCACAGCCTTCAAACCGCGCTAGTGCCCGTGAAGCCATGGATTTATGCTGGCCTTTACACCGCGCTAGATAGAGATGCTGATTTCTCACCTTAGACGTTGCATTGTCAGCACTTTGCTGCTTGGCGATGCGCAGGCAAGTCCTGGCACTTAGCATCCAAGCTCTTACGGTGCCACGCCACTATCATCACTGATTATTTGCTCCAATTATGCTACCACCCTGCGATCTGAAATTGTTCCTGTGTGACAAGGAACGCGCAGAGCGATTTCCGCGTGGACTACAAAGGCATGGATTGGATGGATTATACCAGCTTCGGAGTGCAGCAGCTTGCCATTCAACTTGCCATTTTGTGTTTCGAGATACTATTCCAACGAAATAGTGTTAGAGTGAAGTTGCTGTCGCTGCAAGACGTCACAATTTCTATTCGCTCCGTATTCCTGTTAAGCTTTGGGCTGGTGCTGGTGAGCGTGTCCTGGTACACTCGTGCCTGAAGCCAGTTGAGGATCAGCGAGATGTTCAGCGAGCAGTCCTACTATTACACCTACGGCCCCTTTGAGTCGCGGGAGGCTCAAAGGATCTCAAAGGCTTAAAGACGCTGGAGCCAGTTCAGCGTGAGATGCTAAGGTGGCAGTTGACCATCTTCCGTGCATATCCCTACAACTGGGAGATCTATATTGAGGACTTGGAGTACAACACCGTCTGTGCCCCAGACCATGGCACATTGGTTTCTTTGTTGATGGCTTGCGGACGGATGACTAAGGTCAAGATTTTCGACAGCCCCTACAAGCCCACGTCCAACCAGGTGGTAGCCAGAATTCAGCAGTATGAAGAAAAGAACGAGATTGCCCCGTACAAGAAGATCAGCAAGATCATGAAGGCCGCCTGCCTTACTTGGGCCTGGGGCTGTAGCCGTAAGAAGAAGGTGGGGCGTAGGATGGGCAACTTATTTGCTCAGAGCTGCTAGTTGTTGAGAGTCCGACATCGTGACCAAACAGTCTAAAGCCGTGTCCATGATGCATGAAACTAGCTGAGCACTTCCGGCACAGTTGGGGCATCGATTCACCCGGCGCACCAAGTCACAAATGGGAGCAGAACAAGAATCCTACCCTATTATAACCCATATATATATACCCTATTATATTGTAGTAGTTTCCATTTTCTTTTCCATTATCCCAATAAATCCCCAAGATATACCCAATCCTGTGCTTTGCTTGTAGGACACCATGCGGCAAGAGGAGGCGAGCGAAGAGGCCGAGCCGGGATGGCGGTCCTCCGCCAGCCCCGAGGACGTCAGACGTCCGAAGTCATGGCTTACCCAGAGGGTCCACATACACAACCATTAGGGAATTGGGACCCATAATTCCTCCTATAGTATGGTATTTTGGGGCCTAATTCCCTAATGGTTGTATGTATGGACCCTCTGGGTTACCGTGGATAGGGATGTAAGAAGGGTATGCAATCATGGTTAGATGCAACTGCAGCAGGTAAAGTTTCAGCCAGAACCTTGGTAATGCTTCCTTTTCCCAATTAGTTTTCATTGGCAAGGAGATCATGGACCGTCAGAAGCAGCTGGAAGAGCGGGCCAAAGCTGAGGCAGTTCGCTCAAGCCATACAGATGAAGGAATGGGATCCATCGAGCACATCATAGTGAGCACAATCACCGTTCTCACCAAGTGTGTGCTTGGAGAACACTGTAGCCCATCAGACATGAAGCGTCACGCGTAACATGATGGAGTGGTTGTGTGTGAGTCAGTCCTTTGTTTTCGAAGCTGTGTAATCCCGCGAGGCTGAGAAGCTTGCGAAGGAGCAGGCTTGAGTCCGGACGTGAATTTGCTCAAAAAGTCTACGCGAGCATCTTTGCAGCTCAGCATTAGAGGTGTTGCTTGATGTTGCTTGCTCCCTTGCTCCGCCTTGCGGAGCCAATAATATTTCTTTCAAGTTGCTCCGTTCATTCTTGAGTGTTTTCGCGGTACTATGCGGCTAAAAGAAGAGACCTCTTTCAAGAGTTTACGGGCAATAGACAGGAACTGACTCCAGTTTGGCGTCGGGTCTTTGTCATTTTCCAATTCTCGATTTTCGCGTTGTCCAGGGTCTTCCAACTGTCGGACAACAGAACCGAGAGCGCGACCAGCGCAAACTGTTCAGAGAGATATGGCGAAGGCGTCCAAAAGCCACACTCACAGACTCATGGTTTGAAGACAGCCGGGAGGGTCAGTCATCCTGATAGGGTTACGTCCGGGTACGTGTGTTTGGATGATACACACAGTTACACAGGTTTGTAAAGGGTATCCCTTCAGGACCTCAAAGAGCAGAGGCGAGATGCCAACGCCAAGCTGGAGCCCGGGGCTCGGGCACAAGGAAAGAAGGAATCCACATTTTATCTTGATATCAGCTTCTTCCTGAAGTCTGCTTTGACTGCGGGCTTGCTTAGCCAGACAAATTAATGATGAAGACTTCCTCGTTTAGCCTAAGCAGATGTTGTAAGGCTCTGGGAGGCAAGCCAATCACTAGCTTGAGGGGGTGGTTCCATCCAATGACTGCCCAGGGTGGCACCATACGTGCCTGCCAAGGTTTGACTTGTCGAACTCCCTGACAAAGGCTCGCTTCAGCTGGGGGTTGATTGCGCTAATTCGTGCTTGCTCCAAAGGAGATCTCGGCAGCAGAGAGAGCTCTCAAGTCTGCCATAAAGAAAGCCAAGAAGGCCTCGTGCATAACTCGAACTGTTCAATGTGACTGCGTATCACTGGTACATACTCCACGAAGCACCGTGCCACCATATGTAGGCGCACAAGAAAGGCGAAAAGCCGAGTACACCTGACGCCTCAAAAAAGGCGAGGGAAACTGGCTGGGGGATTTCTGTAGCTTCAACTCCTCCAGCTGCTGTTATCGTTTGATGTGGCAAGGAAACAGCAAAAGGTGAGGAAGCCAATGAAGGCACAGCAAAGATCAAGGAGCTGCAGGCAAAACTGCAGGCAAGACTGTCGCAAATCAAAGGCCCATTCTTGCGGTTGGGGGCGACGGCTATCCTTTGTGGATGTACAGGATGTCAAGAAGAGGAAGGCCGAAGCCAGCAAGGCACTTCCACACCTTCTGCCGTGCAACGCGCTCTTTGCATCAGTTTGAAAGCATACTGCCTCTTCGCCTGGTTCAAGCTTGCGCTTGTGTGACGAATACTTGGGTGCGCCGTGGAGCTTTCAAAAACCAGGAAACCCCAAACCCGAATACATGAGCCGAGCAGCGGGAAGAGATGCAAGCTGCATAGCGGGGCATAGCAGGGCATAGCACGGGTGTGGCATGAAGAAGTTACGTGCTGCAAGGGCAGACCGGGCCAGGATTGTTTTCATAGAGCCACTGTACCGGAAGCTTGGCCACGGAACTGAACCAGGACCTGGGGAGCCCGCTCATATCGCTCATGTAATCTCATGTAGGCTATAGTTTAAACCTCTGAAATGTGGGTTATACAGGGGACTAGTACAGGGGTCATTAAGAAGGATACTCGGAGTTTAGACTATAGCTCATGAGGCGTGAGATGGCTTGGGAGGGCTGGATCTTCTGGTTTTGAGGACCAGCCGGGGCCATGAAGCAGCAACCCTAGATGACTTGTCAAGAATAATGGTACTTCGTATCGTACTCGTAAAAGATATGGTAGAAAAATGGGAATGCTAATAGTAATAGTAGTAATCGTGTCAAATTTCATGCTTCGCCAAGCTTTGCCCAAGTTGCCGAATGCGCGATGCTCAAGGTATCGATTCGACCTGTACGTGAGGTACACCGTCGAGGTCCAGATTCAAGCTTGTGAGACAGCCTTTTCATTCAGAGTGCCCAATGTGCAGGTGTTGTGCTGTTGTACGATAGGATCTTGCAACAAAAGTGCGAATCTTCGCTAGATTGACCTGCCCAACCTGATCTCGAGTCTGGACGGCCTGAATGGAGTCGCCAATCGGGACCCCATTTCAATGATGGCACTTGCGTCACCCATCTCTACTCCCCGCAGCTGGATGTGCAACTTTGTTGCAGTGTTTGCTAAGCAAGCTGCTTCGCAGGAGTTTGCTTACATTCTGAGGCCTGGAATGCACATTGCAAAGAGGAATCGTTTGTGAAGCCTTGGGAAGGGAGTTCACCAATCTCCAGATGTACTGCTGCAATGGACCACCCACTGCGGGAGGGGCACTGAGCTTTATTTCAGTCTAGGCATAGTGGATGGAGTCTATGAGCACCCTGACTGCATTTGCCAGGTTGGAGTAGCCAAGTCATAAGTCGCCTTCAGAGCGACCAGGACCTCGCCCAGTGCCGTTGGGGATCATCTGATTCCAGGGCGCCGTCACGGTCGGTTGAATTCTGAATCATGGACCGTGCTGGAGGTATATGTCCTCCCTTCCGGCTGGAGGGCCTGTATTCGAGGCCTTGGATGCCTTCCAATGCCTTGAGCCCTCAGTCTGGCGCGGCATTCTTCCTTCAGGTTCACATGCCAGATGGCTTTGATGCTGGTGCCTGGTACCAGAGGCCCAGCATTTTTCCTGAAGCTAGGCGTCCGTGGCCAAGCTTTCTTCCCGTCTGCCAGCAACATCCAGAACTACCAGACCCATATTCAGAAGCTCACAGACCAGGTCAACAACCTGAGGCGGCAACCAAAGGATCTGCATTTCCGCCTCCTTACAGTGGCTGCGTTGTGGGCAGGCAGCAGGGCCAGGGTCTCCAACAGGCACTCTGAAAGCCGTAGATATCTGATCTCGGTAGATGTTCACTTCCTTGCCCAGGGCTTCATGCTCTTGCAGCAAGTCGCCCCTATCAGTGACGACCAGGCCCAGCTGTAGAACGACTCTGAGACTGGACGTTGTAAGTGCCGATTCCTGGCATGTGGAGACTGTGGAGGTCTACCAAGTCGTCCACAAATACGGCCAGGGTGTCAATCCCGCGTGCGCTCCCCAAAGCCCATGTGAGCTCATGTCTCCCTGTGCGTTGAAGCCTGTACTTAGCGCGCCCATGCCAGGGTCACGGCCATGACTGGCAACCCTGAAGACCTCTTCTCCAACCAGCAGGGCCTGCGAGTCTTGTCGCGACTTGGCTGCAACAGGACACTGCTAGAATCTTGAAGCCGCAAGCGGCTGAAGCTTTGTTGGTAAGGTACTGGGGTTCAGACACCACTCGCATGCAGGACCGGAGCGGTTGTAATAGCTAGAGTCAGGATTCCAACCCTTGTGAGGATATCTACCAGACAGGAGGCTTTCCACCTGTGATCCATGCCATGCAGCAGTTTCCTGAGGCCAGCTGTGCACTGTGGAGCTTCCGCTCAGAGCATTATGTCGATGTGACATCTGAGAGGATGCTGGAGTTGGGCGGTATGGAGTGCAGCCTGGTCCTTGTGTGGATCGTTCTGCGCCGCGTCTGCGCTGCGTCTATGCGGATGGGCAACGTGTAGGTTCCTCTCCCACGCTGCAAACACGAGCACGGAGGTTCCCGCCTTCTGCTGAAATGTGCCTGCAGTTGTTCTTCTCCGCCTGGACAGTACATGCGCGAGCTGCACCACCTGGGAAGTATACCGATTGTCATCCAGCCGCTGCCCCAGTCATGGTCAGGCCGCACAGGCCGCGCCGGCACGCCGGCACTCGGCACACTGACCCAGGCAGATGAATCAGTTCCCTCAGGACAACGTTCTGCAGCAGTGCGACCCTTTGCCTAGCGCTGCTTTAGAATTTGCTGTTCTGAGACTAGCGTCTTAGCAACTATAGCCTTGCACTGCGCGTTGCATTGGAACCGGCCATGCCCAGGGCCTCTGCCTCAACCTTTGTAATCCCGATCGCAAAACTCACTGGTCAAGCCCAAAATATCCAAAACATGGTCCTGGAACAAAACTTGCGAATTTCCCACCTGCTTGATGGTGATATGTCGTCTCATGACAAGGAGTTCGCAAAAGGTTGCGGACTTCAAAACGACGCAAGGTACGGGTGCCAATATCTTTGCTCCATGGCACAGATCCCAGAAGTCCGCGACGAGATTCTGAAGGATGGCGGCACTTACTGTGCGAGATGGGTTTGATATCATCCTCTGCATAGAGCACTAGCCTGATGCAATTTGCCGCGAACCGTCCGGTTATGGTCCTGAGGGAGATGGGCAGAGATGGGCAAGAAGTATCAGGTTGAGCCCCTGCACGAGCACACATCCCAGGCACAACTCAACTTGCAGCATCAAGCCTACTGGAACGCACTTTAGACATCTTTAGACCAGATAGCCGTCACGGACAGGTTTCAAGCATGTTTGTGAAGGGTGCGCTAGACATCCCTGCACCAGCTTGGAGTTTCCTCCTTGCGCATGGCAAACGCGCGGGGCTGTGGGCGTTTGCTGAGCCGTTGCGCTGCGAGGAGCGAGGCGCAGTCAACGCAAAAGAGATTTTCTCACAGCAAAGCTATTCTGGAAAGGGCACATTAAACCAGGCGCCTGATGGTCGAAGATGAGCCTGTCACTCCGGCTGAGACTAGTGAGGAAGATGGGGCTTAGCTTCAAGACAAAGCTTAGTACCTCATGATGGTGCCGCAAGGCAGCTCGGACGCCAAAGTATGCAAGCTTCAGCCCCAAGAAAGCGGAGGAAGAGACCAAGGCTCACACTCTCAAAAAGTAGCTGCTTCGGCTTCGGCAATAATCTTGCAGATCCAGGTTGGCACTGTAGACGTCAGCTATGTGGATCCTTTGTCCCAGAAGGTTTCGTCCAAGGATTCTTGGCTGCAAGCTTTGGCAGTTGCCCTGAGCTGACATTCTGCTCGAGTGGCCCTGGATGCTTAGGAAGTCTACCTGGACCCGGAGACATGGTCCAAGCGTGCAAACACGATGCACTGGCCTCAATCTCCAAGAAGGGTTTTCTATTCCGGGCTCATCGTACGTCGGACTAGCGGCTTTGAGAAGAGAGCGTCTCTTTTAGGATCAAGGAATCAAGGCTTTCGCTTGGCCGTGTAAGATGTTCGAGCCATGTATCATCTCAATACTACAGATGTTTTGTGAGTAGGCTTTACTTCAAAGCTGTGTTTGGTGTGAGTTCAGAGCCTGGACCGAGATCAGGGCATGGGCGGGTCTTCCTTGGTGGGTTCATGAGTTGCTCAACATGGAATGGGTGAAGCTTGGTCGAACGTTTCTTGTTCTAACTGTGCAAGACCTGACAGGCTGTCTTAGCCTGTGTCTTAAAGGTATCAACAAGGATCTTTCAAGCTAAGTCGCAGAGCTAAGAACAGCTCCAGCATACACGGCCACCCGGCAAGGGCACCAGCAGCCAGATTAGAACTTCCAAGTTGCTAAGCAGATTTCAGGGCCATGGCAGCCAGGTCAAGGGTTCATGGGGGGAGGACACCCTATCATTTACTATGTACCCTATTGCATTATTGTAGTTTCCATTTTCTTTTCCATTATCCCAAGATATCCCCTATATA